TTCCTTCCTTCCTTCCTTCCTTCCTTCCTTCCTCCCTCCCTTCCTTTCTTCCTTCCTTCCTTCCTCCCTTCCTTCCTTCCTTTCTCCCTTCCTCCCTTCCTTCCTTCCTCCCTCCCTCCCTTCCTTCCTTCGTCTCCCCCTGGACATTTGTCCACATTAATAATCCCATCATTTGGATTAGTCACAGATGACAACAGGTGAGAAACACTGACCTCTAGCTGCTGGTGTTGGTCTGTCTGGTCCAGACATATTTATGAATTTTGCTTCATCTCAATTAATCATGATTAGTCATTAAGGTTATTGTAATTACTGTACTTATTGTACTTATGTCAGCCCCAGTACTTCATAGTACTACTACGGTAACATCCACAGTTGGTTTCATTTTCATTTTCCCACTGAATTGTGGGTAATGTAGGCTTTGTTTTGTTTGTGTTAATGTGAATCCACGGCAGGCACAGTATTGCAGTAGTACTTACAGGTAGTATGAGGAGTACTCTGTGCAGTGTGCGTCACACTAACACGTGTTTCCTGTGTACCTCCTCAGGAGTAAGGAGCCGCTGAAGGACAGCGTGGTCTCCACCTACGAGGAGCATGAGGACAGTGTGTACGCCGCCGAGTGGTCATCAGCTGACCCCTGGCTCTTCGCCTCGCTCAGCTACGATGGACGTCTCGTCATCAACAGGGTCCCACGAGCCCTCAAATACCGCATCCTGCTCTGAGGCGGGGGAGGAGGGGGAGGGAGAGAGGGAGGGGGGGTGTGTTGTTGTACAGTTAGAAGGTGAAAGAGACGACCAGCGCCTCCTTCAGTCAGATTTTGTTTCCCACAGTGTGTAAATATAAGAAACTACGATTGAAGACGTTGTCGATAAATGTCTGCGTTAATATATATAAAATACAAAAAAAAATTCTTCTGGACAAAATTCTTCTGACGCTGTAACATTTAATGAAACAACTACAGTTTCTACCTTAGTTTCACTCCATTCAGATCAGTGTTTTATATTTGTGCTCCGTTTTTACTGTGATTTTCACCAGGTGTTTTATACGATTGGTAAGACTGGAACACTCTCACTGACTCACCCACTAACTAACTCACGGACTCACTCACTAACTAACTCACTGACTCACCCACTAACTAACTCACTGACTCACTCACCCACTGACTCACTCTCTAACTAACTCTCTGACTCTCTCACTCACTCACTCACTCACTGACTCACCCACTAACTAACTCACTGACTCACCCACTAACTAACTCACTGACTCACTCACCCACTGACTCACTCTCTAACTAACTCTCTGACTCTCTCACTCACTCACTCACTCACTGACTCACCCACTAACTAACTCACTGGCTCACTCACTAACTCATTGACTGACTCACCAACTCACTCACTAACTCACATACTGACTCACTGACACACTAACTATCTAACTCGCTCTCTGCCTGACTAACTAACTCTCTCACTGACTCACTCACTAACTCACTCACTAACTAACTCTCTGACTCACTGCCTCACTCACTAACTCATTGACTGACTTACCGACTCACTCACTGACTCACTCTCTAACCAACTCACTCACTAACTCAAATACTGACTCACTGACACACTCACTAACTAACTCGCTCTCTGCCTGACTAACTAACTCTCTCACTGACTCACTCACTGACTCACTCTCTAACCCACTCACTCACTCACTCACTCACTGACTCACTCTCTAACCAACTCACTCACCAACTCAAATACTGACTCACTGACACACTCACTAACTAACTCACTGACTCACTCACTAACTCAAATACTGACTCACTGACACACTCACTAACTAACTCTCAGACTCACTGCCTCACTCACTAACTAACTCTCAGACTCACTGCCTCACTCACTCTCTCACTGACTCTTACTAACTAACTCTCTGACTCACTCACTGACTCACTCACTAACTAACTCTCAGACTCACTGCCTCACTCACTCTCTCACTGTCTCTTACTAACTCACTCACTAACTCCCAATCACTCTCACGTTCTAACTCTCTCACTCCTACACTTTAACTCTCTTACTAAGTCTTTTTCACTCTCTCACTCACTCCCTCTACTCATGCCAAGGGACAAACAAGGACAAGAGAAAGTGAGAGAACTGTGGCAGAGCTCCAGCTGAATACAGAGTTCAACACACACACACACACACACACACACACGTTCAGGTGTGAGTGTGAACAGACACACCCACACACACACACACACCGTTGTTCGTTGTCCGTTGTCTAATCGAACTCGTCTACTCACTGACGTGGCTAACGTTAACGTGCGTCGCTGAAGCTAACTGCGTCGCATTAAGAGTCAAGTGTGTGTGGTTGCGTGGAGTAGATTTGAGTGTGTGCGCAGAAGAGAGCGTCCGTGTGACCAATCAGTCAAACCGCCTCACAGTGAATGCTGGGTATTTGCATGTGAATCGATGGCGGCGCCTCTTTAGTATTCCTGAACTCGTGCCCGGGACAAATCACACTAAGTATGATGCATTGATTGTCAACGCGGAGACTGGACATGCTTTATCGCCGACACTATAAATACCCGGTACTACAGTACTGAGTACTCTGTTTGGAGGCATATGTGGTCCACAGCAACAAGGATACACCCCGACGCCCGGACCAGGAGCCGGACACGTCGGTCTGTGGTGGTCGTGTCATGTGACGTTCAAAGACCACCAAACGACGGCAGCGTTTACGAGGACAAGTGAAGGCCACGCCGTCTGACGTTCTACCGTTTTCTTCCTCATTTTATTATCAGTTCTTAAAACAGGATCCTCTGTAGAACGGTACTAGTTCCTCCAGAACCACCTGAGGTGGCGCCCCCAAATGGTGGAGGAAGGAATTGGATCCAGTTGCACTGGAAATTAAAAAATTCAAATTTTGGATTTGAATTTAGTTATCGGGGGGATTAGAGGGGGGGGGGGGGGGGGGGGGGGGGGGGGGGCGGGGTGTGAGTGTGACTGTGTGTGTGAGTGTGAGTGACTGTGTGAGTGACTGTGTGTGTGACTGTGTGTGTGACTGTGTGTGAGTGTGACAGTGAGATGGTAGCAGTCGGAGGATTTCAGAAGATCTGCAGGAGGCGCTCTCCTAGGAGGGGAGAGAACGCTGTCATGTGTGTGTGACTGTGTGTGTCTGTGTCTGTGTGTGTGTGTGTGGGGGGGGGGGGGGGGGGGGGGGGTGAAGTGTGTGATATTCCTAGTCCCTAAACCAAAGATAACTCCAGTGTTTCTGTTTGTATTTCATGAATTTATTCAAACTTTGATGATAAATTTCCACCAGGGTTCTCAAACTTAGGCTGGGGGCCACTGATTGGACCGTCATTTCATTGGAGGAAATGTGTTTTTGTTCCAGTAGAACGGATTTCTGAACAAATTTCTTCACATTTATTTTAATTTTGTTTTTTTTCTATTTCACTATTTTTAACTTTTTTCTGAAAAACAAGACGTGACGCGGGTTCAAACCCCCCCAACCCTGCCCCCCCCCCCCTTTTTGTCCTTTTTTTTTTTTGCCCCCTGGGGGGCCCCCCCCCCCCCCCCCCCCCCCGGGGCCCTTGTGTTGTGTCCAGCAGAGTATGAGAGACTTAGGGCGTCAGAGGTCAGAGGTCAGTACACACATCAGTGTACTGTACATCAGTATACTTGTATACTACTACTACTACTACTACTTGTACATAGATCAGAGTACTGTACATATATGTATGAATGTATATATGTTTATATATAAATATATACACACGTCCAAATATAAACTAAAATATATAACTACAAATATATATGTATGTATCTATATATATACGTACATACATATATACTGTATATGTATGTGTGCAGTATTTATATAGTTTGTTTTTTATATCATGTCAGAGCTTCTTTGTCCTTGTGGTCCAACCTGCGGCTCCAGCTGGGGCCGGTGTTTGACCAATGATTGATTGTGTCCTGACTGACAGCTGGTGTGTGTGTAATCAGTGGTGCGTGGCCCAGGGACAGGGCAGCAGCCAGAACAACTTATTTCCGAAGGATCGTGAGGCAATGAGCTGCAAGTGTGTGACCATGCACGTGTGACTTTTTAAGGGTGGATCTGAGCATCTAGTGAATCCACCGACATCCTTCCTCTAAACTGGACTTATTTGGTCTGTGATGCTCAGCACCACGGTAATTCAAGCTCATTAGGTGGATTTTGTGAGTCATTTTGAGGCGTTTCATTGATTTTAAAGTCAAAATAACATCTGCTACATGACCGTGTAAACCAGGGGGGTGAAACATACGGCCCGTGGGCCAAAACCGTCCCACTCCTCCAGGGTTCAGTGATGTTTAGTCGTTAAATATAAGTCAACGCTGCTAATCAATATTATTAATAATTCATCGTTAGCAGAAAAAACAAACAACAACTATAAAGTATTTTAAGACTTGAAAAAAAAAAACCTCAAAGTAAGAAATGAAATAACCGTTGAAGTTCACGGGCCAGTCTTGGCCCCTGTGCCAGGGGTTTGGTGCAGTTCAGTCTGAAATCCTCTGACAGGAACAGAGGAGAATCTTTAATCTTCAGACAGGAAGTTGGAACGGACGCCAGGTTATCACTGGCTCAAATCCCTGTTGGAAATGACGCTGGTTCGTGGTTGGTTTCAGCTGATGATGTCACTGCTGCTGATGTCACTGCTGCTGATGTCACTGCTGCTGATGTCACTGCTGCTGATGTCACTGCTGCTGCTGCTCCTCAGTTTGTGGACATTATTGTCTGGACATTTTCATCAGAGGACAGACCTGGACTCTCCCTCTCCCTCTCTCTCTCTCTCTCTCTCTCTCTGCTGTTTTTACACTTTTGGTTCAGAAAATCAGAAGAAAATAATAGACCTTAATAAAACACACACACACACGTCCATGCACTGGTGCAGGGATGAATGTTGATGATTGGCTGCCAGGCTTCAATAGAACTGGATGTGTGTGTGTGTGTGTCCTCCTCCCCCCCCTGGCTGTTCCAGTGTCTGCCTCCACACGCACTCCCCCCCCCCCCCCCCCCCCCACCTCAGACATGTCATGGACACACTCATGGGAACTGTTCGCCCCAGATCTGTCTTCTCTTCTGCCCGGCTGACCACACATACATGCTGCCTCTAAACACACACACACACACACACACACACACACACACACACACACACACACACACACACACACAGATGCACTTGACATTTGGGTCACTGACAAGATATCAGGTGAGAACAGAAGAACCCAGGTGACAGGGAGAGGCAGTGAACCTTTACTGTGATATTGCCTCTGCACACACACACACACACACACACACACACACACACACACACACCTGTCTGGATCTTTTCGAGGACATGGACAGGTCTTGACCCTGAAACTGTCCTCTAACGGTGTGTGAGGACTGTCCCCGTTTACCTGCCTTATGAGGTCCTGTAGAGTTCATAGTTCAAGTTGTTGCCCCTCAAAGACACACATGGCACTAGGTAACCCACCCCCCACACCCCCCCCCCATGTCCCTAAATAAGGGGACAAATGTTCCATTGACGCTGCAGCTACACAAACACAAACGTCACAAAAGAAGGAAAAACAGCCCAAAGACGAGGCCCAACAACAGCCAATAAAACTCCAGCAACAGAAACATATATATATATATGTATATTTATAACATATGAAATATATATACATATATTTGTTTATACACTGTGTATATAAATAAATAATCAGTGTTCAATATTTAAGAATTGGAGCAAAAAGTATCTGAAACCTTTGTGCTTTAAAACCATGTCGTTCCATTTGCCCCCCCGCCCCGCCTCACCCCCCCGTGTTCCTGCCCCCCTCACTGCACCGGTAAACACACAACTGTGAGGGACAGTGGCT